GATGGCGGGGGACTTTTAATCCTTTCCACCACCCTCATCTTTTTCCTATCTAACACCCCCTCCTTTTGAAGCTGATATTAAACCAATAGTAGAAAAAAGACAGGTGCTTGTGTCATGCCTGCCTTTTCTCTCTATGGGTCCAAGAACAGCTTCAGGAAGGTAATTTAGATTGGGGAAAAGGATTAGCGCTGCTTTGAGCAAGATTGGACAGACACGCAGCTGCTTCAAAGTGGAAAACCTGACAAGAAATCAGATTGTGGATCTCCCACATCCCATCTTCCCCCTTCCCGCATCTGCCCTCAGAGGTTGTCCACCAGATTATCTCTCCAAGCTGACCATATATTTCCCCTCTTCCATATTCTTTCTTTCAACTCCCTGCCCCCAACACAAGCTGTGTACACATTACTGGCTTAAAATGCTATTAGGATGCTCTGTTTCTTAATCCAGTTCAAAGCTGGTTTGGGGAAATGACAGGATGGATCAGGACTGTAGTTAACATCATGTGTATACCCCAAACTGGTGGTGGGAGAACATAGGATATGGCGTAAATGGGCGTGGTATATGGTCTCTGTTAGTCCTGTGCAGGATTCATTAGCTATGGGCTCCACCTGGTTTTATGGAGCATTTTTGAGAGTCATGTTTTTGTGAGCACATTGTGCCCTTGTGGGCTGGACTTGCAGCCATCTAATGTGTCATTTCCACCACTAATAGCTGTGGAACATCAGTGTTGTCCTGTCTTATCGCCTGAGTCAACAGTCCTTGGCCTTTTACAGCACAGACCCTCTCTTCCTTTCGATCATGTGTAAATCTCTCAAGCAGACCAATATTTGGACTTTTTTGGGGGGGGAGGGGAAAGTCTTTTGCATTAGGTTGTTGAGAGACCTCTGCTCCAGAAGGGAAATGGTTGGGGTTTTTTTTACTAGATTTGGTTGTTGTGAGACCCTTTGGGGCACTTCATAGATACCTGGAGTGGCAAAGGGCTATGTTTGGTAGAGGAGGGACCCTGCTGCCTCTCCCCTAAACACCACAGATAAGATTACTCTTAAACTAGCTATCACCTAGCAGCAGACACTGCTGCAGAGTAGAAGGAGATAAGAGAAGCAGGGCTATCCCATCGGTTTTTTTGCTGAGAGACCAGCTGCCTTTGGCTCTCCCAAACTGTCACCGAGCACCAGCCATTCTGTCAAGCTACCTGAACGATTTTCATTTCAGCTCAGTGCTATAAGAACTGTAACTTTGCTGTTTATTTGTTTGTCTTGTAACACAAGAAAATCTGTAATAAAAAAAACTAATTAAGGAAGCGATCTGTAACTTTTAAGAACTGGTGCTTATCTTCCTCGTCCCTTACCATCCTTTTTTCATGTGTGCTGTAGGGTTTTTCCCCCCTTTCATTTTCCAGTTGAGTGTGGTGGTGGTGGTAAATGTAAAGTTTCCATGGAAGCTTATTTGTATTCTTTAAAAATCTTTTCTTGATTATTGTATAATTGTAAATTGCCTTTAAATTTATATACAAGGCAAGTCATGAAATATTATTATTAGTAGTAGCAGCAGCAGGAGGAGTAAACCTGAGGATATGGACTGCCCTGGCTGTAGTTTTGTATAAGCAAGGCTCTGAGAGCCTTTTCAGCTAAAGAGTAGGTTAAAAAACCCTTTAAATAGGTAGATAATAAATGCTCCACCCATTAGTGTTTAAGGAAAGAATTGCATGGATCATATACTCACAGGATCACATAATCACAGCTTTGTGCAAACCCAAATCTTATCACAAAACCCTGATTCCTAACCAAATCTTCTTTTTTTAAAAATAAAATATTCCCATCAACAGATAGTATTGTGAATCTCCTCAGACACACTTTATCAAATGTGCACACAAGTAATCCATGTTGAGTTGCCTGCTCCTTGTTCTCCTGCTGCAATTGGCATTCTTGTGTTATCTTGTTTTTTCTAAATTAGTCCATACTAGCAAGGCTGGTCCAACTGCATAACCTCTCAGATTCTGTGATGCAGCTATTAAGGGCACCAGAATGGACAGCCTTGCATGGAAAGGGACCCTTCTTCATAGAGCCTTCTCTACCCACACTATAACATGAGATCTTTGGAACCCTAAATGAGAAATGAGTTTTTGACTTCATAAGCAGAGAACCAGATGCTGCTACCCATGCCTGCTGTTCTGCACTGCAAAGCTTGATTTTGCTTGAATGTTTTGAAGGGAGGAAGAAGGAATCATATTCTGCATAGCTATCATTGCTCCAAAATCCCATAAAGCAATTCCATAAAGTGTGATAGCTTCATTAAAGATTCTACCAGCAGTACCAGTGTCAGGGAAGGCTTTGGGCGCAGACATCCAGGGCCCCACTCAGCAGGATGGGGGCAGGAAGACCCCAAACACAGCCAGTCTCGCCCACCACATATTGAAGCAAGCAGAATAATAGACATTACCATCTAAAGAGATGGATGTGTCTGCATGCATGCAAACGAGACCATTAATTTCAGAGACTAAAATTACCTAACTGCACCACCAAGAGATTCTTTGATCTTTTATCGTTGCTTTGTGCTGGTCTTTTAAAAAGCAACCACGTACAGACTTAACACATGTACAGTTTCAAACCCCATGATGATCAGGGCAAAAGGATCAGAAAAAAGACCTCATTTGTAACAAGGCTTTCCTGAGATGCTGCACGCCTTGTAATTAATGAGGTTTCTTGGTAGGAGAAATATTAACACAAACACTTAAGAGCTAACATAGCTGGAAATGGGTAATAAGCTCCTGCTGTTCTGCAGATTCCAAGGCCTTCAAGGCAGAAGACATTGATTCCCTGGGAAGATTTTTATAATTTATATGAAATGCTGCCTGGCAACTGATAGATTTAATCACTTTGTGATCCGATGGATGCTACTGGTGCCAAGAGATAGCTTCTGAGCCTGTCATTCATGACATCTGGGTGGTGAATGGCATATAGGCACGTAAGTGATTGCATTGGCTAGTCATGAGCCAGTATACACACCAAAATGCAGCCTTATTAAAAATGCCATGCATGAACAAGATGGCTTCCTTCCTCCTCTACCATCAACTATCCTTTCCTTATGCTTTTTAAGACTTTAACACTGCCGGCAGGGACCCACTCTTTATCTTTTTGTACCGTGCGTGGTGAATATTGTTATGAGTTTGTGATGGGGGTCAGACTCCCCTAAATCTCCAGATTCAGTAAAGGGTTAGTATTTAAGAAACCCCCTAAATTCCTGGATCTAGCAAGGGTTGGAAATAACACAGGCCAGCTTCCTCATGAGGTAATCGCTTGACAATGGCTGAGTCACTGACCTAACAAAAGGTAGCGCCACCAGGAGATTCAGTGCCTGCCAGTCCAATGGGTGAAGCCCCTCCCTGGGCCCTGGTTTTAAATGGTAAGACAAAAGGCCAGTGTTAGGGGTGTTTTTAGGATTGCAGTTGGCAGTGATATGCTAGCAAAACTGTGACAGGCTGTTAAAGGAGAGAGATAACATGGTTGATTTCTGTTTGGGATCAAGGCTGCTCTCCTATGCGAGAAGCAAAAGGCCGTGCTGGGAACCTCTCCATTGTAGGCTCAGGTTGCATATATGTGTAAAAAAACCAACATATCATAAAGACACCACAATCTCCGCTATGCCTCATTTCCAAAAGGAAACACAAACCCTGGGTAAGCACCTGAACTCCTGGGATTTTGCACTTTTTGGAGACTGCAGTAGCGTGTAACAATATTTTATAAAGAATAATGATGGTAGTGGTGGTGATGGTATATTGGTCTAGTTTTGGATAAAACAAACTTAACATTTTAATATTGGAAAAACCTAGGTTGAGAGGGAAGGTAAAGATACTTGAATTAAAAGGCCAGGAACCAGAGGCAAGAAATTCTACAGTGATCCAATGAATGACCAGTCTGTTTATGCTGCCTAAACATTGCACAATTTCTACACTTTTTCTGCAGGAGAACCACATATGTTTCATCTAGGTAGTACAGTCATACCTCGGGTTACAGATGCTTCAGGCTGCATTTTTTTGGGTTACGGACCGCCAAAACCTGGAAGTACCGGAACAGGTTACTTCCGGGTTTCGGTGGTTGCGCATGCACAGAAGCACTAAATCGCGCTTTGCGAATGCACAGAAGCGCCAAATTGAAACCCGCGTGTGCGCAGATGCACCACTGCGGGTTGCGGACGCTGCGGGTTGCGAACATGCATCCCACACAGATCACATTTGCAACCCAAGCATCCACTGTACTTGCATTGCATTCTACTATCATTTGGCTTGATCACATTTTACTATTGTTCATGCAACATCTCATTGCTAAGAAAACATGCATTCTGGCGGTCATAGAAATGGGAAGGGCAGCAGGTCACCCTCTGCCTGTTTTCTCCGAAAGCTACTACAACACCTCACTAATTTTGGGAGTGTGCCACCATATAACTATTCACCGCCCACCAGGAATGCCCTAAAATCCTCTAATAAACCAAAAAACCCAATTAACATCTTTGTATTCTTATCTGACTTGGCTGTTTAAATTATCTTCCACACTGTTTATTTTGTTTATTACACTGTTTGGTTGCAACCTGGAACTACAGCCCATTGAATTTAATGGGCCCTACTTCCGAGTATGTGCATATAGGATTCCGCTAGGGTGTCCCGTCCCCCCACTATTGTGAACTGCCTTGCATAGAAAGACCAGGATATGTAAATTATAGTGATAATGTCTTCTGATTGCACAACAGGGCTTTCCCCCATGTCCCTGAAATTGGCTCAAGGGGGAGGGGGTCACCAGAATTCCCAGAACAGCTTGTGGGGAGAGGGGAGAGGGGAGGGGCCTTGTTTCATCTGCAATACCTCAGGGTATGAGGTATGAATGGACTTGGACCCTGCAGTCACCATCTGAGGCCCTTCTTCATGTGCCCTCTCCACGAGAGGTCCAGAGGGTGGCAGCATGAGATTATTTTATTATTATGCTGTGTATTAATATGCTTTGTATGATGTTTTTATTATTATGCTGTATGTTCTTAATGTTGTACACCACCCTGGGATCTTTGGATAAAGGGTGGTATGTAAACTGGAAGAAGAAGAAGAAGAAGAAGAAGAAGAAGAAGAAGAAGAAGAAGAAGAAGAAAAGCCATGCAGACACTCTGTGAGTTCTCAACCTCCCCCCCGAAGTTCCCCCTTTTTTTGAGAGGTGAGTAGTCATATGTATATACAGATATATGCAGGTACCTGCTGTATTACACAGTGTAGAACACATGAATGGGCCTGCTATCCTCAGAGGCAGATTTAGGGGAGCACAACCAGTTCATTCTTACTGGGCACGGAGCCTCAGGTGGGGGGCACAACTGTGATATAGTAGAATGGAAGGTGAAAGGTGGAGGGCACCAGATTTTGGCATCACACAAGGCACCATTGAAATTTGGGGACCCAAGGTTCACCACTGCCTCAAACAACATGTGCAGAATTATTAAAACTAGTCATTGTATGAATGCGCAAATACCGTACGCCTTAAGAATCCTGGGGAGCAGCTTTCCCATTCATTGTTTAAAACAAAAACAAAAAACCCTTCCCCTTCTACCATGCCTGGAATAACAGGTTTCCAATTGGTTATGTAGTTTTATTTGAATTATTATGTTAACTTGACTATGGATCTGTTGTTCCCTTTTGCCTAACCAATGCTTTGTGGAGGCCTGATGACTAACGTTCGAATGAACTAATCTGAATCTAATCTGAATCAGGCCCTAACAGATGCCAGGTTTCAGAGTGATAAATTGGCTCTGAGTGATTGTCCCTTATCTTTGAAGTCCAGTTCTGGGGATCATTGGTTTCTTTATTGGATTCAGAGCTGCACACGGAAGAGCGAGTTAATTTGCCGCTGCTGGGATGTGCTTTGTTCTTTGCAGAACTCATTCTCACCTCTTGGCCTTTCTTTGACACTCATCCTCCCTGCTCTGTTATTCATGTCCCTTCTCTTCATGGGAATTGATTATAGATAAACACTCGTCAGGAAAGAGGAGGCTTTGGCCAACGTAATGATTAACTCACTTATGTTTTTATTTGTGGAATTAGAGATGTCTGATACAAAGTGACTAAAATGGAGTGAGGTTTCTTAAATGAAATCACCCTTGGGAGGAGATTTCTTCTTTGCATAGAGGTTTTGCTTGTATGTTTTGTTTTGGACAGCACAATAGCAAAGTCTATGCCACTGTTAGCCTGAATAATAATAATAATAATAATTTATTATTTATATGCGGCCCATCCAACTGGGTGGCCACTCTGGGAGGCTTCCAGCAATAAATATCTCTTCCCTACCTACAAGTAAGAATCGCTGCCACTGTGTTTTGGAATGGAAGCATACTTGGACCATGGCATGGGTGGTGGCAAATTAAAATTGCCTCCTGAAGCGACTATTGGACCTGGAAGGGAAGATGCTATTTTTACCTGTTGTGGCTTTCCTGATACTGGTGTGACTTGGTGTGTGTGCGTGATTGATTTTAATTTTAAAAATTGTGCATGTTATCACATTTCTCAAAGCAACCCAAATGGTTCCTCTATATTCCATTTCCAGTTGAGAATATGAAGTTATCAACTAAATTGCCAATAATCTATGCATACGTAACAAGGGTTAAACCTCCATACCACACTCTTGCTTTGGATCAGTGGCTCTCACGGATGATATATTTCCATTGTTAAATATATATGAAGGTGATCACGTATTTAAATGTACACATAGTGAAAGGCTGAATCTGTGCTCAGAGAATAAAAGTCAAGCCACGTTCTCATGACCTTTGGGTGGATCCAGTGAGGAGGCCCATTTGAAGGGGAAAACACTGCCCAAACCTATACAGACCCCTCCCTAACCTCATCTCTTTCAGCTTCAGGGATAGCTGCAGGTTGAAGACAAGGATGCTGCTGAATCAGACTGTCTATTGCAGCATTTTTGCCACTGTAGTCTGCTAGGAACCTCTAGGATGCTTGCAAGGTGGGTATGAAGCATTATTCTGCCTGTGGCAAGGCAGTAAAAGATGCTACTCTCGCCACTCCCCCCACTTCTAGTTAAGGTGCGCAATACTCAAGGCTAGTCAAATTATTTTGGCACCTGAAGCAAATAATTCCACCTCTCCCCCATCCATGGCAGTAATAATGCAGTCATAATAAATTAAATAATAGTTTGATGCCTGTTCACAACATCCACAATCAGCTGCCTGGCTCTGTCTAACAGCAGGGCTGGTTCTATATGAAGCTGATAGTCCATTTATGTCCAGGAGCTGGTATTCAAAGTTACTGTATATGGTCCCTAGATTCCATTCAGCTATCATGGTGAACAGCCTTTGATAGGCCTATCCTCTGTGGATTTTTCTAATTCTAAGCTAGGTTTTTGGGTCTCTGGGCATGAGAGGAAAAGCACCACCATTGGCCCACCCTATGCCTACAGTTGCTTCAAAGAAAGGGAACCAGAACTACTCATCTCCACAGCTGATCTGCATTATAAAAATCCCCCCACTGTTGAATGTGATTTTGAAGCCTTGATTTCACCAGTCATATCTTTGCAGCATAGAAAGTGAAATAAAATATCTTGCAGGAGCTGCTGTGCTGAGAGTTTGTTTCTGCAAAAATCGGAAATGGGATTTCTGTGCTAATCACAAGGGAAAAGGAATGTGAAGAGAGGTGGAAGAAACTACAGTTTGCGAAACATTTCAAGGTTGTACTTTATATAATGTCAATGCCTCTTAGCCAATAGCAGTATTGAATGTATGTTCTCCTCCATACTCTGCATTAGTTGGACAAATGAATGAAACCATTATCATGCTGGTTTTCAACAGTGCAAATACATTTCCGATCTGCCTTTTGGGGTCTTTCTTGGCAGCATGCCAAAAACCAGCGTTACATAAGATGGCTTCATTAAAAAAAAAGAGGTGTATTTAAATTAAAATATTACAGAACATAGTGTGTGAAAATATGTAACTTGGCACCTAATTGTTATTTATTTTAAAAAGAAGTTGCTAAAAACTAAAAGCATGGTCCAGATACAAATATATCCTTCCTCACGTGGTGGAATGAAGAGTCCATAGATGAGAGGACTCTCAATGGCTACTAGCCATGAGGGCTTTGCTCTACCTCCATGGTTGGAAGCTAGATGGGCCATGGACCTGATGATGCCTGAGAATGGGAAGCTAGGGTCAAAGGGGGCGGGCTTTGGGTGCAGCGAGAAACCTTGGAAGGAAAAGGATTTCTAGTACAGTGGTACCTCAAGTTAAGAACTTAATTCGTTCTCGAGGTCTGTTCTTAACCTGAAACTGTTCTTAACCTGAAGCACCACTTTAGCTAATGGGGCCTCCTGCTGCCGCCAGAGCACGATTTCTGTTCTTCTCCTGAAGCAAATTTCTTAGCCTGAGGTAATATTTCTGCGTTAGTGGAGTCTGTATTTATTTCTGCTCCATCCCATTGTCCCTCTTCCCAAAATACACACTCACACAGCTCCTCTCTGCTATTGATCTATGTGCCTGACCTCCAGTAAGAAGGAGAAGAAAAAAATTTCCTATGCTGGCCAATCCTTCCTCCCTAGAATTCTCCTTCCATCCTCAGTCACATTCCTGACATCCTGGACTCTACATTCTTCAGGGCTTCCACAGTTGTTGTTTTCAAAATGATGACATATGGGAAAGCCCTCAAAGCTTTCCTAACCTATCACAGTTTGGGAATTACTGCTAGAAAGGCTTCTGTGAAGCCTGGAGCAAAAGCATGGGGTTTGGAAAGCAACACTAACATGATAAACCAGCCTCTTGTGTTGAAAATTTCCTTAGTTTCAGAAGTATTCTCATAGCTTGGTAAAATGCAGCAGGTTCTAAAAGCAGATTTTTCCAACTGCACACATTCCCCATCAGATTTAAAAAAATAAATAAAAGCTGAACGAGCACAAAGTGTGATTTGATCCTTGCTTATACCCTGTATCAGTGGTGGTGTTTCTCCATAGGAGTCAGTAATTCTTATCTACTATACAGTGGGAATCCATGTATGAACCTGCCTTAGTTCAGTAACGAACGCATGCAAAACCAGGAGTTATTTAAGGGTGTTTACAAGGATGCAATGACCTGCTGAAAGAGGAAGGCAAAAAAGAGGAGGCTCTGATGAGAAAGAGGAATATGGTTTGGGAAGTTTAAGTATGGGGAAATGACCGGGTACATGCTGTCACTTAACTGCTTAATATGCTTAATAAATACTAGCATCTCTAATACCTGCCCCCAAATATTTCCAACAGCTTCTTATTAGCTTTCCAACTACCCCACTTTTTGTGCCCAACTGCACACTAACAAAAGCCTTAACAACATGAGCTTTGCTAGATCTGACCTTCGGTCCATCTCATCCAGAAACAGACGTCCATGAGAAGCCCACAAGCAGAACAGGAGGGTGATAGTTCTCCCCTGCTTTCCTATGCTGCCTCTGATTCTGGAGAGAGTAGCCATTATGACTAGTAGCCACCCTGTATGAATCTGTCTAATCCCATCTTTTTAGTGATTGCAAAAAGCCAAAGATCCACTGTTGATGTGTAGGATGCATACTGTATTCTGTACAACAGTGATTTCCATGTAGAAATTTTGCCTTCAAAATCTTTGAAATGCCCCTTAGTATCACAGATTCATAGGATTATAGAGTTGGAAGGTACCCCAAGGATCATATTATTATTGGCCTCATTGGCTTGTCAAAAAATAAATAAAAGCTTCAAAATATTACTAGGCCATCTCTCCAGCAGATACTCTTTCAAGTTTGAACTTGGTCACATCAACTTGATTTGTGCAGCCACACAGCTCAGTGTAGGGCCAGCCCAGTTTGACTTAGTCCATGTTTATGGTGCTTAAACTTTAGGTCTTTTTGGACACAGAATCCTGAAGGAACCAACACTAAATTTCTGTAGGCACCATGTAGACTCTTACATAGTGATGAGGCCAGATGTCCACGTGATATGGCTTAGGAGGTCACATTTTGCCCACTCGGCTCTCAATATACATACTAGCCATACTCCAAAGGACATTTGGAGACCTGTAGATATAGGGTGCTATTCTTCTTCTTCTTCTTCTTCTTCTTATTATTTTCCTGCTTCTAGCTCCCCATGCAGAATAAGAGAGCATCTTCCACCCTGGTGGTGTGCTCTTTTGCATGCCTGTCAGCAGCCATGTAAGCTGAAAAGTATCGTTCATGATGGCCAGGGTCATCCCAACCTCCCTATGAAGAACACAAGAAATGTGTGCTGTTTTATTTCACCCTTCATTCTAACTTACGTCAGAAACGAAATTGGCCTTTCAGAAATGCCAAAGGCTGGCCTGACATAGCCTTTAATATTTGCCTTCTGTTTGCTTTGTGGGAACAGAAGGGAAGCATCTACTCATTGTTGGCATTTTCTGCACCAAATATCTGCGTTTTCTTAATCAACGCACTTCAAGTTTGGAACATTTCCATAATTTGTATTGACTCAGCTGTCTCTGTCCATTCTCCTTCTTTTATGCTTGCAAACTGAGCACATTCACGTACCCTGGGTGAACAGAAGCCAAATCCCAAAGGGATCTTTTTAAAGCCTTGACATATAGACCAACGTTATAAAGTATTGCACAACCCACAGCTGCTTATAGGATTGTGTGACTATATTATGGTACAGTAGCAAGCTATGGCACAGTTGCTTTGGTATCCTGTGCAATGGTGATTACATGTTGCTAGTGGATGCAGTAACTATCAGCAAATGTTAAAGGCACCGAAAAGATATTCTAATTGGCTCGTTTCAACCCAGGGATTTCACACAACTGTATACTGAATATTTTGTTCTTTCCTGACTTTTCTCATGCAGATCCACAAACATTCATTTCAGTTCTCAAGAGGATGATTTTCCTTACTTCAAAAACCTTTAAAGAATCTCTACATCTCTCAACTATTGTTTCTGGCCCAGGAGGTCTCAGTCATAAAACCACTTTCCACACTTCCTTTCTGATCTGTGACTCCTGGTAGCCTATCTGTTAGGGAAGGGCCATAGCTCAGTGGTAGAGGATCAGCATTACATGCAGGAGTTCCCAGGTTTATTCCCTGGAATCTCTGCATACAGCTGGGAGAGACCCCTGCCTGAGACCCTCTGCCAGTCAGAGATGGATGGATCAATGCTCTGACTCGGTATAAGGCAGTTTCTCAAGTTCCTATGTTCCTGTCTGCACTGGGGTAAATGTGTATCTGAAACTTCAATACCTTTCCTGTGTAATATTGTAATTCTCATAGGACACAGGACTTTTTATCCTTTAGTCACCATGGTTTACATTTTTAATGTGTTGTTGTAAGCCACCCAGAGAACACAGTTGTGGAAAGTCATACATTATATTATAAATAAAGTCTCTGTAAGTACCTTTAAAAAAATTATTTAGCCCAAAGCTATGTCTTCTGAGATGTCACAGCTTCTTCACACACTGTACGTTCATTTCCATTAATAAGAAAGGGTAAGTCTCACCGTGCCTTTGCTATGATACCAGAGAGTTGAGCCATCAAACACCTGCTTGGAATTGATGTTGTTTGATGGCCAGGGAGAGATCAGCTGCAATAACTACATACTTGAATTTGTACTCTTTCTGGGGGACTCTACTGAAAAATCTGTTCATAAATTCTTGGGTCTCCCAAGCTTTTTAACCATGTAGGAGTACTATACAAATACCTACGAGGCTCAGTTAGTGGAGATTCAACGGAGCTTTCAGCAGCCACAGAACGGATATAGAGTGGTACCTCGGGTTAAGTACTTAATTCGTTCCAGAGGTCCGCACTTAACCTGAAACTGTTCTTAACCTGAAGCACCACTTTAGCTAATGGGGCCTCCTGCTGCCGTCGCACCGCCAGAGCACGATTTCTGTTCTCATCCTGAAGCAAAGTTCTTAACCTGAAGCACTATTTCTGGGTTAGCGGAGTCTTTAACCTGAAGCATATGTAACCTGAAGCATATGTAACCTGAGGTACCACTGTATTGAAGAGCATGATATGTACCTTTTAAAGTGGCAATGTGCATACTTTCTCATGCCTTTGTATTTAGTAGAGTGGAGGTGCATAAGGGTTTTGCTTTTTTTAACTGAACTGAAACTGACACCAGCGGTTCTTGAAACATTTCCTGAAAATAAAGGAATTATTTACTGAAACTATATAAATGCCAGGTGTTGCTTACTGTTGGGTGCCTTCAATACAAGAGACTGCTTCTGCCCAGCGTGAATCCACACACCTTGGTCACCATGCGAGGCCCTCGTTTAACTGGGGTTAAGTGTTTAAAACGCTGGTAAGCAAACTTCCCTGCCACACAGAGCTCTTCTTCAGGCCTGGTGTCCACAGGAAAGGAACAGCTGCTCTGCCAGGCTCACTTCCCACCCAGCAAAGCCTGCAAACCAGGAACGACTCTGAGGGAGGGAGGGAGAGAGAGAGGAGTCGCCTTCCAGCAGTTCATCCCGAAGTGTGGCAACTTTCCCTCAGCCTTCAGGCGCCTCGCCTCTCCTTCACTACCTCACACACAAACTCCAGGCCCCGCCTCCCTGGACAGGCCCCGCCTCCGGCTCCTCCCACCCCTCGTGGCGCAGCCAGTCAACGCGAGGCTGTGACATCAGCGCAGGGAAGCCGACCGGGGAAAGGAGCGAGGTGGATACATTGTAGCGATTCCTTTTCCTGTCTCGGCGCTCGAGAGACGTTCCGCGAGCAGCCGGGCGCTGGGGCCAAGCTGGGGCGGGAGGGGAGCCGCGAGAGAAGGGCGGGCGGCCGCTTCTTCCGGCCGGGAGCTCCGGCGGGCGCGGGTCGCAACAAAGGAGGGATCGCGCCTTTCGCCAGCGCCCAGGAGGATCGAGAAGACCCCTGAATTTCCGACCCGGCTGCCGCGCGCAAAACTTCATACTGTTGGGGGAGAGGGAGGAGGGCGAGA